CTACAACTACAACTACAACTACAACAACGTTCGTACGAGTCGTATTGCTGATGCACCGTTTTCTATTACAACCTATACTACCACTGCTACTACTACTACTACTCCTACTACTACTATTACTACTACTACTACTACTACTGCTACGACGACTACTACTACTACTACTACTACTACTACTACTACTACTACTACTACTACTACTACTACTACTACTCTGACTACTACCACTATTACTACGATTCCCACAACTACTACTACTACTACTACTACTACTACTACTACTACTACTACTACTACTACTACTCGTGGTCTGCGATCGGCCCGATATCAACCGCTTTGTCCATCGGCGAGCTTAAGACAATCCAGTCATTCCAGAAGCTCTCTTGGAGAGCCTCCGCTAATCAAAACAATATGTCAGCGACCCCAAAGCATCGCAACCACTTCGGCCCGATCGCAACCTTCTGTGATCCGGCCCATATGGTTGCGATCTGTCCGAAGTGGTTGCGATCAGCCCTGGTGAAGGACGTTCCCATGACGCCGGAAGTTGCTCAACCCCACCCCAGGCCTTGAGCGCACCCAGACCCTCTCGGGAGCTTCCTGTCGACCCCAGCCGCGGCCGCGGCATGCTATCACGGTCTCAGATACCATTGTTACCCAGGCCTCGCAGTGTTGTTGACAAGGGTGGGGCCCTTCCCATACGCTCGCAAGCCCCAGACCAAACCCCATACCCCACCCCGAGCCCTAGACACTCTGACCTATTCCAGATATTCTTAACCGCCTCGTGTCGCTCCAGCACGCACGCACAGTAAGTTCTGGGGGACAGCCCGGGAACGGCCCCAGAGGCGCCCAACAATTTGCAAGAGGCCTTCAAGACGCCCCAGACAGGCTCGCAGGAGGACCCAACATGCCCCCGACACGGTCCCAGCGACGCCCGGGCTGTTCAATTTCGACGAGTTGTTCACCCATGGCGTGCGAGTCTCGGGTGCAGCACGCCGTGGATTTAATCTACGGGTTCACAGTAGTCTATATTACATACAATACCGGGCAAAATGCGTGCCAGTGGGGCCGGCAGGCGCCCGGCCCGCGGGCGCGGCGCCTCGGCGGTTCCGCTTATGGCGACCGCGCCTGAGGGCCCTCAGAGAGCCCAGAGGGCCCCCAGAGAACCCCAGAAAGCCCAAGCGAGCGCGATCCGAGGGACCCGACCCAGCTACACGAGAGCCTCCAGGAGGGCCGTGAGGACGCGAAACGATCGACATTTATTGCGTCATTCGGTGATTTATCTGCTGCTCGCTTCTGCAGAGCCATGACGCCACATACGCCACCGCAGGCCTCCGCCTTAGGCCCAGCGCGGCCCCGGCGGCTCTCTAAAGAGCCCTCAGCACGTTCCCCAAGGCCCTCAAGACCGCTCCCGAGGCCCCCAGGACGAGCCAAGAGACCCTCAAGACGGCCCCCGAGGGGGCCCAAAAGGGCAAATTCCACAGCTCTTCTGGCCACATCGAGCCCAATGCGGCAGGTCACCGAAACGGGCCCGACGCGGCTCCCGCAGCCTTCTACCCGAGACAGCCCCAGACGAAACCCAAAGGCCGCTGGAGGCTCCCAAGGCTCCCAAGACACGGCAAAATATGGACGCACCCCTTTTGCCCCCATGTGGGAATAAACCATACCCCACACCTTTTGGGACGCGTCTCACGCGGGAGGGGTTCCACAAACAGCGCAGGATGCTACGAGTCGACAACGCCCAGGATTGTTTTTTCCGCGATTCCTCTCGCACGGCGCGTGTCCCAGGAGGTGTGGGGTATAGTTTTCTTCCACTTAGGCTCCCTTTTCCTTCTTCCCCCCGACCATGGATGTCTTCAGGACACCCTCCCGGGGCTGTACCGCGGATTGCCACTTCGAGGACGGCCGTCTGAATGGAAAAAATCCAATGCCCCACACCTCTTGGGACGCGTCTCGCGCGGGAGGGGGTCCACAAACAGCTTACGATGCGAGTCGCCAAGCGCCTAGGATTATTTGTTTTTGAACCCCTCTCGCACGGTGCATGTCCCAGGAGGTGTGGGGTATGGTTTTCTTCCACTTAGGCTCCCTTTTCCTTCTTCCCCCTGACCATGGATGTCTTCAGGACACCCTCCCGGGACTGTACCGCGGATTGCCATTTCGAGGACGGCCGTCTGACTGGAAAATCCAATACCCCACACCTCTTGGGACGCGTCTCGCGCCGGAGGGGGTCCACAAACAGCTTACGATACGAGTCGCCAAGCGCCCAGGATTGTTTGCTTTTTGAACACCTCTCGCACGGTACGTGTCCCAGGAGGTGTGGGGTACGGTTTTCTTCCACTTAGGCTCCTTTTCCTTCTTCCCCCTCACCATGGAAATCCTCAGGACCTCCCCCCCGAGACTGTACCGCAGATCGCCACTTCGAGGACTGCCGTCTGATTGGTAGACACAATACCCCACACCTGTTGGGATGCGTCTCGCGCGGGAGGGGTTCCACAAACAGCTTAAGATACGAGTCGCCAAGCGCCCAGGAATGTTTTCTTCAGCAACCCCTCTCGCACGGTGCGTGTCCCAGGAGGTGTGGGGTGTGCTCTTTTTCCAGTTCGGGCCCCTTTCTTCACCCCCCCTGACCAGGGGAAGTCTTCAGGACACTTGCCCCTCTGGGGCTGTACCGCAGATTGCTACTTCGAGGACGGCCCTCCTGATTGGAAAAACCATACTCCACACCTTTTGGGGCGTGTCTCGCGCGGGAGGGGGTCCACAAACAGCTTACGATACGAGTCGCCAAGCGCCCAGGATTGTTTGTTTAAGCAACCCCTCTCGTGCGGCGCGTGTCCCAGGAGGTGTGGGGTATGGTTTTCTTCCATTTAGGCCCCCTTCTTCCCTCTTCCCCCTGACAATGGAAGCCTTCAGGCCCCTCCCCCCGGGGCTCTGTCGCAGATTGCTACTTCGTGGCGCTCCTGATTGGGAAAAAACATTCCTTGCACCTCATGGGACGCGTCTCGCGCGGGAGGGGTTCCACAAACAGCTTACGATGCGAGTCGCCAAGCGCCAATTTTTTTTATTTGCAACCCCTCTCGCACGGTGCGTGTCCCAGGAGGTGTGGGGTATGGTTTTCTTTCATTTAGGCTCCTTTTCCTTCTTCCCTCTGACCATGGAAGCCTTCAGCCCCCCCCCGGGCCTCTTACCTCAGATTGCTACTTCGTGGACGGCCCTCCTGATGGGGAGAAATCCAATGCCCCACACCTTTTGGGACGCGTCTCGCGCGGGAGGGGTTCCACAAACAGCATTGGATATGAGTCGCCAATCGCCCGCGATTTTTTTGCAACCCATCTCGCACGGCGCGTGTCCCCGGGGGGGTGTGGGGTATGGTTTTCTTCCGCTTGGGATCCCTTTTCCCTTTTCGGCCGTGCTGCTGCTATCGCCGATGCTGCTGCAACCGCTGTTGCTGCTGCTGCTGCAGGCGAGGGGGCCGCGCTGATGGTGCTGCTGCTGAAGCTGCTCCTCCTGCTGCGTCTGCCAACGCTGTGTCCGCTGCTGCTGCTTCGCAAGCGTTTCCCTGAGCGCCGACAGAACCAGCGAACACCCAGCTCACCCTGGAGCCCAAACAACAGCAGGCACCCCTTCAATGCTATGGCAACCGTGGACGGTAGTCCACAGGTCAGCCCTAGTCTTGTATTACAATACAGCGATCTTTGCGTGCGAGAAGGTCCTCTGTCCCAAAATGCCGCCCGGGCCCTCCGGGGCGCCCTGCGAGCCCCCCGGGCGCTCCGAGACGGCTCCGTGGGGTCTTAAAACGCTTCAGGACGACCCCAAGGCGGTTCAGAGACGCTCGAGAGGGCGCTGGGACGCCCCAAGAGGATCCCAAGCGAGCCCCAGAATGACAATGACTCCAGAGGCCTCCAAGGCAGGCCAGGAGGCTCAGGAGACAGCCGAGGAGGACCCCCAGGAGAGCCCTAAGAGGCAAGAGTCGTCCCATTCCCTTCGGCAAGCGTATGTTTCCTATGTCCGTCCTTTTCGTTCGCACGGTTTCCAAGACGGCTGTACAGGCAGGCCCCCAAGATCGCCCTAAGACGCTCCCTGGAGAGCCCCAAAACGGCCCGAGATGGTCCCGGGACGGTTCCAGAGGCGCCCGAGACGGCCCAAGAGGCACCCAAGACAGCCCCAAGAGCGCCCAATAACGGCCCAAGATGGCCCCAAGATGGCCTGAGAGGCGCCCCAGACGGCCTCACATTGCCCTAAGACGGGCCCAGAGGCACTCTAGACGGCCCAAGAGGGCCCTGAGAGACCCCCTGGAGAAGGAAAAGAGGGCCCCCAAACGGCCCCCAAGAGGTCTTCGATGCTTCTCTCTTGGGGAGCGTTGAACTTCCAGCGTCGTCTTGGGGGCCTGTTGGACCCTCTGGGAGCCCTCTCTGAGCCTTTGGGGACGTCTTGGGGCGGTGAGCTCGAAGGTCGATTCGTGTCCTCACACTCGGGCCCGTCTTAGGGAGCTCGTGGGGCCTTCGTGGGCCGTCTTGGAGGCCTCTTGGCCCGTCCTGGAGACCTCTTGGGCCGTCTCGGTGCCCTCTTGCGGGCCTCTCAGGCCGTCTAAACTTCAGACGAACGACCAGGAACATGCCCGCGCCCACTGGCCCAATTCTCACCACAATAACTACCAGATAAAAGTACCATTCGGCCCCGGCGAAGAGCAGATAAAATGATCACGGCGACCCGCCCCGTAGAAGCTACTAGTATGATGAACACAGCGCGGCGTGAGAAACAGTTTCTGTCCACATCATGTCGTGCCTACATACATGGGTGTGCTTCCATTGACACCGCCTCCACCATCGCTTTTCTGCCTTCAGGCCTGCTCGCCTGTATCCCTCGCCCATCTCCCCCGCCAGCGGCCACCTCCTCCATCCACACCGCCACCTCCAACCTTCCCCCCCCCGCGAGGCCCCAGAGACGCTCCACTTCGCGTCCACACCATGGCGGACAGATTTCGCGGCCGGAAGGCCGCGGGTCAGCCCTGGTCAGCTACAACGCTGGGATCAGCGCGTGCGAGAAGGGCAAGCAGTGGCAGCGGGCTCTGGCGCTGCTCAGCGAGATGTGGGAGGCGAAGCTGGAGCCCGACGTCTTCAGCTTCGGCTCTGGGATCAGCGCGTGCTGTAAGGACGAGCAGTGGCAGCGGGCCCTGGCGCTGCTCGGCGAGATGCGGGTCGCGAAGCTGGAGCCCGACGTCTTCTATATTACAATGCCGGTCGCAGCGCGTGCGAGGTGACCGGCAGTGGCTCGGGGCCGCTCCCGGCGCTCCCGGGGCCCTGGTCCGTCGCCGGCGTTCCCAGAACCGTTGCAGCGGGCCGCCCAAAGAGCCCGTGGGCCGCCCAGAGAGCCTCTGGGGCGCTCGTCGACGGCCTCAGGAAGCCCCTGGAGCGCTCGCCAACGGCTCCAGGACCCCCAGATCGCCCCAAGACAGCCTCACAGATGCCCACGATGGCCGAAGCCGACCCGACCGGAGCCCCCTGGCGGCCCAAAAAGGCTTCAGAGACGGCCCCCGAGGGCCGCCTGGACGGCGCCAAGGGGCAAAACTTGCGCGTTTTCCCAAGGGTTCGAGGGTTTTCTTGTTCCCGCCATTTCGGGCCCACAACGGCCCAGGATGGCCCTGGGGACTTCCCACATCGCCCTTGCACTGTCCAAGAGGGCTCCAGGAGAGCCCCAGACGGCCCAAGAAGGCCGGTAGACGGCCCAAGAGGGCCCCAAGACGGCCCAAGGGAGCTTCAAGTGACTCCCAAGTCAGCCCCAACCGGGCCCCAGCAAAGCGACCTCCGAAACGGCTCGAGACAGACAAGATGGCCCCAAGACGCCCCAAGAAGGACCCGAGATGCCGCCCAAGAGGGCCCAAAGCGACCTCCGAGAGACGGCACGAGACCCTCAAGGTGGCCTCAAGACCTCCCTGCGCGGCTCCCAACACAGGCCCGCAAACGTGCCCCCCTCACTCTGACTGTGCCTGAAAACCATTATGCTTTTGCTAATCGCGCCTAGACCTGGCGCGATTAGCAGAAAAACATGTCTTTTCACGCTTCCAGGGCAGTGCCCCCGGAGCTCCCCGACTGCTTTCCGGGGCGGCCCCCAGACGTGGCCCTTTACGTCGGCCCCCAAACGGGACCCCCAAAGGCGGCCCCCACACAAAGCCTCCACAGGTCGCCCCTACCGCCCCAGTAAGCGAGGCCCCCGAACGTCACCCCCACGCGTAGCCCCCAGGCGCCCAGGCGCCCCCAAACGTGCGTCCCCCCCCCTCCCCCCCTTCCCCCCCCACCACACACACAACGCACACACAACACACACACACAAACAAACACACACACACAACACACATACACAACACACACAACACACACAACACACGACACACACACACACACGCACGCACACACACAAACACACACACACACAACAACAACAACAACAACAACAACAACAACAACAACAACAACAACAACAACAACAACAACAACAACAACAACAACAACAGCAACAGCAACAGCAACAGCAACAACAACAACAACAACAGCAACAGCAACAACAACAACAACGACGACGACGACGACGACGACGACGACGACGACGACGACGACAACAACAACAACAGCAGCAGCAGCAGCAACAACAACACACACACAAACACGCACGCACGCACGCACGAACGCACGCACGCACGCACGCACGCATGCACGCACGCACGCACGCACGCCAGCACGCACGCGCGCACGCACGCACGCACGCACGCACACACGCGCGCGCACACGCACACGCACACGCACACGCACACGCACACGCACACGTATAAGCACACGCGCACGCACAAGCACGCACGCACGCGCACACGCACACGCACACGCACACGCACACGCACACGCACGCGCACACACACGCGCACACGCACACGCACACGCACACGCACACGCCGCACACGCACACGCACGCACGCACGCACGCACGCACACACACACCTATACACACATACACACATACACATACAAACACACATACACCTACACACAAACACCCACACACTCACTCACACCAACCATTGCCCTAAGCGTGACCGTCACATGTGCCTCCGAAGGTCGCCCCTGCCGCCCCAGGGACGCCCGAGCTGTTCAACTTCGACGAGCTGGTCATCTACGGTGTGGGAGTCCAGGCTCAGCACGCCGTGGATTTAGTCCACGGGTTTACACTAGTCTAAACTACAATGCAGGGACCCGCGCGTGCGAAGAAGGCGATTCGGACCAAAAAAGCGTAGCAGGCCCCTGCGAGCCCCAGCAGGCCCCGGCGCGCTCCGAGACGCTCCAAGATGGCCTAAGAGCGCTCCGAGACGCCCCTGTAGGCCTTCACGAGGGCCCCAAGACGTCCCCAGATGGCCCAAGAGGGCCTCCGAAAAGGTCCAAGAGGGCTCCAAGACGTCCAAGATGGCCTCCCGACGGCCCAAGAGAGCTCGAACAAGGAAAAATCGTCCCAATCCCAAGGGGAAACTTGCATTTTTGCAATTCCCGCACTTTGCGTCCGCAACGCGTCCAAGACGGCCATACAGGCCCCCAAGATCGCCCCAAGACGCCCCAAGATGGCCTCCAGGCAGCCCCAGAACGGTCCCAGGCGGCCCCTGGACAGCCCAAGAGGCGCCCATGACAGCCCAAGAGGGCTCGAAGAGCGGCCCAAGAAGGGCCCGAGACAGCCCTAGAGGCGCCCAAGACCACCCTAAACAGCTTGACACGGCCCAAGAGGCGCCCAAGACGGACCCAAGAGGCCCAAAGGAGGCCTCCAAGTCCTTCCAAGAGACGTCCAAGAGGGCTCAGAAGCAAAATTCGTCCCAATCCCGAGGGAAGACGCACAATTTTAACATAGATCGCCCCAAGACGCCCTAAGAGGGCTTCCAGGGGCCCCAGGACGGTTCAAGGCGGCCCCAGGCCAGCCCAAGAGGCGCCCGGGGCAGCCCAAGAGGGCTCGAAGAGCGGCGCAAGACGGGCCCGAGGCAGCCCCAGAGGCGACCGAGACCGCCCTACATAAACGGCCTAAGACGGCCCACGAGGCGCCAAAGACGGCCCCAAGAGGCCTCCAAGAGGCCCAAAGGAGGCCTCCAAGTCCTTCCAAGAGACATCCAAGAGTGCTTCGCCCCAAACCTTGGGGAACCGCACAATTTTAACATATTCGCTTTCCTCGTGTCCACGGCGCCCACGACGGCCATATAGGCCCCCAAGAGGGCCTCCAGGGGGCCCCAGAACGGTCCCGGGCGGCCCCAGGACAGCCCAAGAGGCGAACAGGACAGCCCAAGAGGGCTACAAGAGGACGGGCCCGAGGCAGCCCTACAGGCGCCCAAGACCGCCCTAAACGGCCTAAGTCGGCCCAAGAGGCGCCCAAGACGGCCCCAAGAGGCCCCCCCCCCCCAAGAGGTCAAAGGAGGCCTCCGAGCCCCTCCAAGAGACGTCCAAGAGGGCTCCAAGAAGTAAGAGTCGCCCCAAAGCGTGGGAAAACTCACAATTTGAACATATAGGCTTTCCTCGTGTCCACGGTGCCCACGGCGGCCATACAGGCCATACGAAAGCGCGGTCTCGTTGCCGCCGCCCTCGCAGCCGCCGCCGACTTGATTATAGGTTTTCGGCAAAATCTTCGCCGTTCCTCCGATAACCATTCCAGAAAGATGTCGTGGACGGAGTCCACGGGTAACCCCTTGTCAGCTACAACGCTGGGATCAGCGCGTGCGAGAAAAGCGAGCAGTGGCAGCCGGCGCTGGCGTTGTTGAGCGAGATGTGGGAGGCGAAGCTGGAGCCCAATGTCATTGGCTACAGCGCTGGGATCAGCGCGTGCGAGAAGGGCCGGCAGTGGCAGCGGGCGCTGGCGTTGTTGAGCGAGATGCGGGAGGCGAAGCCGGAGCCCAACGTCATCTTCTCTACAATGCAGGGACCCGTGCGTGCGGGAAGGGTCCCTGTCTTGATCGAGTGAAAATACCCCACAACGGCTCCGGGGACGCCCCAGAGGCGCTCACGCGGCCCAAGAGGCGCCCCGGACGGCCCCAGACACCCCCAAAACGACCCAAGAGCGCTCCAAGAGAGCTCAAGACCGCCGAAAACGGCCCCGACAAGGCCCAGGAGGCCTCCACGACGGCCCCAGAGACGCTCAAGAGGCGCCCCAGGATGGCCCCCACAGGCCCAAATCATTGTTTTTCCAACGAAAAACGTCCAATTTTAGCACGCACTGCTTGTCGGGAGTATGGCGCAGAAGATGGGACAAGAGGTCTCCACGACCGCCCCAAGACGGCCCAAGAGGCCCCCTAGAGGCACGAAAACCGGCCCGAGAGAGCGTCAAGAGACCCAAGAGGCGCCCAACACGGCCCCTAGGCGGCCCCAAGAGGCTCCCAGGAGGCGCCCAGGACGGCCCCACACACCCCCAAGACGGCCCAAGAGCGCTCCAAGAGAGCCCAAGACCGCCGTAAACAAACCCAGACGGCCCAGGATGCCTCCACGACGGCCCCAGAGACGCCCAAGAGGCGTCCAAGGATGGCCCCCAGGCGAAAATCATCGTTTTCCCAGAAAAAAAACATACACTTTTAGCATGCGCTGCTTGTCGGGAATATGGCGAGAAGCTGGTTCCAGGTCCCCACGACCGCCCCAAGGCGGCCCAAGAGGCCCCCAAGACGCACGAAAACCGGCCCGAGAGGGCGTCAAGAGAGCCCAAGAGGCGCCCAAAACGGCCCCAGGGCGACACCAAGAGGCTCCCAGGACGGCCCAAGGTATCCCCAAGACGCTCCAAGAGCGCTCCACGACAAGCCAAGACTGCCTTTTGCGGCGCCAAGACGGCCCATGACGCCTCTACGACGGCCCAAGAGACGCCGAAGAGGGGCTCCAGGGGGCGCCAAGGCGGCCTCAGAGCACCCTTGGGAGCCCCAAGACAACCCTAGAGGCCCCCAAGGCCCAAGGAGGGCCTCCAGGAGAGCTCCAAGAGGCCCAAATCGTCCCATCCCCGACGGGAAACGCACATTTCCACCATGTTTCCTTTTTTCGTCCTCACAGCGTCCAAGACGGCTATACAGGTCTCCCAGCTCGCCCCAAGACGCGCCCAGAGTCCCCCAAGAGGGCACCCAAACGGCCCCACACGGCCCCGGGACTGATTTCAGAGGCGCCCGAGACGGCCCAAGACGCACCCAAGATAGCCCTAAGAGCAGCTAATAATGGCCGACGGGACGGCTCCGAGATGCTGCAGGGGGCGCCAAGGCGGCCTCAGAGCACCCTTGGGATCCCCAAGACAGTCCCAGAGGTCCCCAAGGCAGGCCAGGAAACTCCCAAGACGGCCCAGGAGGGCACCCAGGAGAGCCCCAAGAGGCCCAAATCGTCCCATTCCTGACAGGAAACGCACATTTTTACTGTGTTTCGTTTTTTCGTCCTCACAGCGTCCCAGACGGCTATACAGGTCCCCCAGCTCGCCCCAAGACGCGCCCGGAGGCCCCCAGGAGGGCCCCCAAACTGCCCCACACGACCCCGCGACGGCTCCAGAGGCGCCCGAGACGGCCCAAGACGCACCCAAGACAGCGCCAAGAGCAGTTCATAATGGCCCACGACGGCCCCACCGCCCCGTCTCCAAGACGGCTGTAGAGGCCCCCACCGCCCCGTCTCGAAGCCTTTCCGTCTGCACAGTCTCCAAGACGGTCTGTGGGCCGTTCGGGACGGCTCCAGAGGCGCTCGGGACGGCCCCCTGAAACACCCAAGACAGCCCCAAGAGCGCCCAAGATCGGCCCAAGATGGCCCCAAGACGGCCCCAAGATGGTCCGAGAGGCGCCCAAGTCGGCTCCAAATCGCCCCAAGACGGCCCAAGAGGCATTCAAGACTGCCCAAGGGGGCCCCGAGAGACTCCCAGGAGGACGAAAAGAAGGCCCCCAAACGGCCCCCAAGAGGCCTTGGATGCGTCTCTCCTGGGGAGCGTCGAACTTCCAGCGTCGTCTTGGGGGCTTCTTGGACCCTCTGGGAGCCATCTCTGCGCCAGCTGGGGACGTCTTGGGGCGGTGCTCTCGAAAGGTCGATTCGTGTCCTCGCACTGGGGCCCGTCTTAGGGAGTTCGTGGGGCCTTCTGAGCCTCTTGGCCCGTCCTGGAGACCTTTTGGGCCCTCTCGCCGCCCTTTTGTGGGCCTCCTAGACCGCGCCCACTGGCCCCATTGCCACCACACTACCAGATAAAGTTATCACTCGCTTGCCTGTATCCCTCCTCGGCCACCTCCACCTCCAGCGGCCACCTCCTCCATCCACGCCGTCCCCTCCAACCTCCCCTTACCCGCGAGGCCCCAGAGACGCTCCACTTCCACGTCCACGCCATGGCGGGCAGATTCCGCGGCCGGAAGGCCGCGGGTCAGCCCTAGTCTCTACTACATTGCAGGGACCCGCGCGTGCGAGAAGGGCGGGGGTCGGTCACATTCCTCCGGCGCCCCCTGCGGGCCCCCGCGAGCCCCAGCTGGCCTCGGCGCGCTTCCAGGAAGGCCCAAGAGCGCCCCGAGAGGACCCCAAGACGCCCCAAGACGGGTCAAGAGGACCTCCGAGATGGTCTAAGAGCGCTCGAAGACGCCCACGATAGCCTCCAGACGGCCCAAGAGGCGCCCAAATTGCTCCAAGTGGGCTTCAAGAAGAGCCCCGAGAGAGCCCGAACGAGGAAAAATCCTTCAAATCCTAATGGAAAACGCTCATTTTGGCAGTTCCCGTGCTTTTCGTTTTCAAAGCGCCCAGGACGACAATAATTATTGTCTCCCTAGATCGTCACAAGAGGGCCTAGGAAGCACCCGGGAGGGCCCCAAGACGGCCCAAGGCGGTCCCAGAACGTTTCCTGAGGCGCCCATGACGGTCCAAGATGCCAAGAGGGACCAAAGACGACCCAAGAGAGCCCCAAGGCGGTCCGAGGACAGCCCCAGAGCCGCCGAAGACGGTCCCAGACGGCCCCAAGACGGCCCAAGGGGCGCCCAAGACGGCCCAAGAGGGCCCCAAGAGGCTCCCAGGAGGCCGCCAGACGGCCCAACAGGGCCCCAAGAGGTTCTTACAAGGCGGAACAGAAGCCGCGGGGCGCGGCCACACCCACGGAAAATCAACCCCGACTTCGAGGTTTACTTTCCGACGCCCTGGGGCGAAGCAATCAACCCTCGCCCAGGACGTTCGTCGACTCGCCACGTCCACGGAATGCCAGCACCAACTCTGAAGGTTTCCCCCAGGCTCCAGATGGGGCACTGACGTCTCGCCCGGATCGTTCGTGGATCAACGACGCCAACGAAAAAGATTCCGTAACCTCGGAGGCCATTCTCCATGTTCTCGCGGTCGGCCAAAAAAACACACCCCAAGACCACTCCGCGGCCCGCCACGTCGACGGAAAATAAGCACCACGCTCGAGGTTTATTCTCCGAAGCCCCAGGTGGGCAAAAGGGTTCTGGAGAGACGTCTTTCGTCAACCTGCGCTTTGGCGCTTACTCTGGAGTTCTGGGTTTCGTTTCTGCGGTGTTCCGTCTCTACCCTCCCAATGGATGACCCGTGGCGCGGCCACACCCACGGAAAAGAAACCCAGACTTGGAGGTTCATTCTCTTGCACAATTGTGCTCTAGAGCTCGGACATTTTTATTTTCGTCCGGGTTCGTGGTTCGTGGTGGTTCGTCTCCCTCGGCCCCTCCCCTGAGCCTGAGCCCCAGCTTCCCTGGGCCACCCACCCTTCGGAGGCTTCCCCCTCCCCTCCCCTGAGCCTGAGCCCCAGCTTCCCTGGGCCACCCACCCTTCGGAGTCTTGCTCCGTCCAGGCTTCCCAGGACAGCCCCTTATTTTCGTCGTGGTTCGTGGTTCGCCGTGGTTCGTCCCCCTCGGTCCCTCCCCTGAGCCTAAGCCCCAGCTCCCCTGGGCCACCCCCCCTTGGGACCCCCCCTCCGTCCAGGCTTCCCAGGGCAGCCCCCCTGGGCCGCGGAACCCTTTATTTTCGTCGTGGCTCGTGGTGGTTCGTCCCTCTCGCCCCCCTTGGCCCCCCCCTGAGCCTGAGCCCCAGCTTCCCTGAGCCACCCACCCTTGGGAGCCTTCCTCCGTCCAGGGCTTCCCAGGACAGCCCCCCTGGGCCGCGGACATCCTTCTTTTCGTCGTGGTTCGTGGTTCGTCGTGGTTCGTCCCCCTTGGCCCCTCCCCTGAGCCTGAGCCCCAGCTCCCCTGGGCCACCCCCCCTTGGGACCTCCCCTCCGTCCAGGCTTCCCAGGGCAGCCCTCCTGGGCCACGGACATCTTCATTTTCGTCGTGGCTCGTGGTGGTTCGTCCCCCTCGGCCCCCCCCTGAGCCTGAGCCCCAACTCCCCTGATCCACTCACCCTTGGGAGCCTCTTCCTCCGTCCAGGCTTCCCAGGGCAGCCCCTTCGCAGCTCCTTTGCGCAAGAGCCAGGGCACGCGTGCCACTTGTTTTCCGACGCCCCGGGGCGGAGCAATTAACCCTCGCCCAGGACGTTCGTCGGCTCGCCACGTCCACGGAATGCCAGTACCAACTCTGAAGGTTTCCCCCCATGCTCCAGATGGGGCACTGACGTCTCGCACGGATCCTTCGTGGATCAACGACGACCACGAAAAAGACTCCGTAACCTCGGAGGCCATTCTCCAGGTTTCCGCGGTCGGCCAAGAAAACGCCCCCCAAGACCATCCATCGGCCCGCCACGTCGACGGAAAATAAAAACAAAATCGGCAGCAAGCAGCAGCACGCAGTAGCATGCGCAGAACGTGAGGTCGGGCCCCACGATCAAATGCCAGTTCGTGCAGATTTCGTGGACGGAGTCCACGGGTCAGTCGTAACGATGTCGCAGGCCTCCTTCCGGTGCCCACAACCCAAGACGACGACCACCATCACCACCACGACAAAGCCGCCGACTA